CTTCTTTGAGCATGCTGAAAGAAAAAAGATAGGCCAGTTAATAAATTAATTTAAACACAGCTAAAAAAGCAGGTAAAACCAAGTTTTTATATTTAAATGTTTATCATTTTCATATATTTCGGTTTTGGGTTATTTTAAATTTTTTTAATTCAAAGATTGAATTTTAAACCATGAGATATTAAATTTTCCTTTATTATTTTAGCTTCTACAGATCATATTTTAAAAAGACTTTTTCTGGCTTAACCTAATTCTTATAAAGATTTTAAAATATTTTACTTACTCCAAAAGCTCCGGCTGCGTTTCAAACAACGGGGGATTGATGTCCGTCCAGGTCTTGTGCCTTTTCAGGCCGTAGGATTCCCTCGCTGTATTGTAATCGGGCAGGCCATTGTCCCTACCCCGCATTATATTCAGGGCACCCAGATCTCGACGTGTAAACTCCATGGGACCGAAGAGTTTGTCCCGCACATCTGAGCAGAGAACAGGGTCCTCGCGTTCGGATATTTGCGAGGCCAGGCCCATGAGTACCTCCTCCACGCTGGTGTCCGCGAAAAAGCCCTGCGAAGTCAAGGCTTTAGTAAAAAATTAATATTTATAAGAACCATAACTCACGCTGGAATCCCACCAAGTGGAGCACAGTCTAACAGCTGGGTACCCCATTGGCGTTTCCTTAAAGTTGCACTGGCCATCTCGTCTGTAGATTCCTGGCGGAATCATCGTGTGGCCAAAGCGAAAGGCAGCTGCCTGGAAAATGTGCCCAATGCCAGGATGTATGTCCTGCTTGTACCCCTCATAAGGCGGCAAGGAGGTGCCCAGAAAGGCGGGCAGGTACTCGTAGACTATCACATTCTGCAGGCTGGCAATCACCGTGTGGCGAGCCCTCTGATAAATGTCCTCATCACTCCAATCCGGATGCAGACGCTTGATCCTCTGGGCCAGCGTATTGTGCCAGCGCAGGAAGAGAATGGCGAAGGAGAGGATCGCCGGATTTTGATTGGTGCGCGGGTCGCCAAGAACTAGGGATCAAAAAAAAATTATTAATTGTTGTAACTAAGTTGTTAAAGCAAGTAATTGATAAAGTTAAGAACTGAAAGATTTAGCTGGAGCCTTAGTTTTTACTTTCTGATGAATATCATAATACTATTCTTAATTATTATTACTGAACAAAATATAATCAATTTCGAAAGGAATAGTTATGTTTGATTTATTTTAGTATTTCAAATGAACTTACGAAACAACCTTTCCGGACTGAGCATCTTCATGACACTCGGCACCGGATTGTTGAACAGGGGCACCCGCATGGTGTTCCTTACGGGGAGCTTGCCGTCCTTCTGGGTGAGCAGGGTGCCGTTGTGGAAGGAGCGCATGGCGTTCAGCCAGGCCTCGGAGGTGCTGTAAATGAAACTGCCATCAATCCAAGCAGTCATTTGATTTATCTGCGGAGTAGGCATTCAGTAGTGGAAGTTAATCCCGATCCGTAACCTGCCAACCCACCTGTTCCCTGGGAGCATTTGGACTCTGTCCGGTATCCCGATCGTAGGCTGCCCGATGGAATGGGATGTACTTGTCGCCACGACACTCCCGATCGTACATCTCGTCGCATTTCTCGATCTCGATGCGGTGCATCTCGATGGGACAGCCGGACTCGGAGGCCATCACAATTTCGTTGGCCACCAGTTGGCCAAAGAAGGCCAGCAGGGCTGTTCGGTTGAACTTTGATCCCAGTCCATCCTTTCCCCGCATGAAAAGGCGACTCAGCCTGCGGGTAGAGGGTCGATTGGCACCTGCCATCGCATAAACCCCATCCGAATATGAGGGCGGCGCCTTTCGCACCAGGTGACTATCTGAAAAGTGAATGGGATCGAGGGTTAGTTGGTTTTCACACACAGCTGGCTTATATGCTAATTTGCCAGTCATTGCGAAAGAATCAATCGATATGCAAATCTCCACCGATCTCAAATCACATCTGATTCTAATAAAAGGCGTAATCGGATCTACAAATATAAGCCCTTTTTCGAAAGTTGTCGTCAGCAGCCTGATAGAAATTCCAGATGATTCCACTTACCCACAGATCCCCAGTCGGGATGGGCTAGGTTATTGTACCAGCCATCGTAGCGTTGCTTCTCAGTCTGACTATACATTTTCTCTGAAAAATAGCAAAGAAGTGAAAAATGTTAAAATATAACACTTTAAACCAATTAAGCTTAGTCTATTTTTGCCTGAGAACTTTCGTTCTCACTGAATTCTCAGTCTGCCTAATTATAAATGTGATGTCATACTATTTTAAAAAATAAATGCAGGGTAATGATTATCTGTCAAATACTAAGTATATTTGCAAATAAAATAATAATTTTTTTATACACAAAAATTGATAGTTTCAATTTGATATTTACAAAATTTAAAAAAAATTTTAGAAAGGGTAATTTATCGCTTTTTTTCTCGACAAAAATTTATTAAACTAATATGTCATGCACCAAATACCTTTTTATCAATCATTTTTCTGTGTATTTGTCGTTATAATAATATTTTGTCTTTAAGTTGATACCATAGATTATAATCATTGCAAAAAACATAATTCCATGCATCGATTTTTAAAATCCTCAACTTGTGATAAATAAATTCAGCAAATAAGTAGTATACTTGAAATCAAACCTTCACCTACATATCTTATTCGCTATTTCAAAAGAATTTAATGTTTTTCCAATTCTACGTAATACATTCAAAAGTAAAAGAACTAAGCTGTTGTTGGCTGCCAATTAATTTGCATTTGTTTGCGTAATTTCGTTCAGTTTTATGCGTGTAAATGACGCATAAATTTGTGCTAGTTAAGATCAGAGAATGCCTTAAATGTTCACTTCGAATTAGATAAATAATTTACGCATAAGCTTGTCTGCGGACAGTAGCCGGTTTTTAGCAAAGTCAAATTGATCCGATAAAATGTAGATTGTGATATTAGAAAATGTATTTGGTTGACTTAGTTTGGTTTTAATTGACTGGAAAATTGATTGACTTGGGACTGGAACGGCGGCGATTGAATCACACCCAAATGAACTAATGGCTGGACCAAAGGAATGCCACTAATTTGCATATTTTTCTACAATTTTTCAATTCTAACAAGTGGCTTAGTAATTTTCGGAAATTATCTTGATTCGAGTTGTCATCATAAAAACTAATTACAAAATAATCTTGTCTTCCAGTTCTAGTTGTATTTGACTAATCGCCACACCCGGATATTTAAAATGAATTTTAAACCGTGATTGGCAATTGAGAAAAGATGCAAATTAAATCTTTTAAATTATATTTCAAATAGTTTGATTCATTTCCTTTAATTGACACCGTTAAAAGCTAAGCCCAATTTAACTACACTGTTTTTCGCCAAGCTCAATTAATAATTCCACCTTTTTCGAGTCGACTTTATGCATGAATCACACAAAAAACACGAGTTGTAAAATAAATGTTTGTTAAACAGAAGACACCTTTAAGTGATAAAAATCTGCAAGGCGTAATTGTTCTGACGCTAAACGTTATAATTATGGTTTATTTGCGTATAATTGCAATGGGGAGAGGGACTGTTTACGCGAAACCAGTTTTCAAATTAACAAGCCAATGCCCGCAGACCGAAAATAAAACATGCCCAACATTCTAAAAAGTGCTTAGATGGAATACACCACATAACAGGCACTTAAACCAGTTTATTTGTTCGTCTTTTAATATTGCTATTGTTACGGCATCACCCTCAAGAATTCGTCTTTAATTCCGTTCTGAACGAAATAAGTTGGTTTGTTTTGTCGGATCTGTGGCTTTGGATTCTTCACCGTGAGCAAAAGCAAACCATGCCAAAAACCATGACGTTGACAGCTGAAGGGGCAGCCACAGCTACAAGTCATGACTATATTTCGTACCATTTTCGAGAGCATTGCTCACCTCTGACTGTGTGAGTGTAAATAAGTGATGGATGGTTGGATGGATGGATGGCTAGCAACAGCAAAAGCAACAGCAACAGCAAAAGCAAAAGCAAAAGCAAAAGCAAAAGCAAAAGCAAAAGCAAAAGCAAAAGCAAAAGCAAAAGCAACAAATAGCATTAATTTCCAGGTCTGAGATGGCAAACAGAATCAGATCCGGTTAACCAAAAACGTAGCCAGCTGAGAGAGGAAGCCTCAGCTGACTTGGATCGGCTATATATGTATATAGCTTAGCTTATATGTACAAAAACACACTGCGTTGGCGGTTTATGGAATGTTGGCAAAATAAAAATAAAAATAACTAACCAACACCTGCGCGCTGAAGAAGCTTCCACAACAAAAACTGACTCTGGCCATAAGCTGTTTGGTTTTTTTTTGTTGTAGGAAAACATGCACGACATCACGGATTCCCCCCAAAAAAAAAAGCAAAATACGTTTACACATTTATATGAACTACTGGGTTTTTTTTTCCACTTATGTCGGCGCCATCAATTGTCGCATTGTACTTTTTGTAAATCTCTGTGTTTCGTCAGCTGTTTCGCGTTCGTTTTCTAAGTCTTTTGATTTATACCAGTACGATACGTCGCATATTTCACTTTCATCTCGGTTCGTGCGTGACTCTCGCTGTTTAAACAAAAGACGATGATTTTTTTCACGTGGCATTGCATAATTCAATTTTAGAGAAAACATGCATGGTACTGTAACTAATTGTAATTTGCTACACTCTGAAAAAAAGCAATGGTAAGATAAGACTAATCTGATTTTGGATATAAATTGATTTTTAACATAATTTAAATAGTTTTGTGAGTGCTGCCTTTTGGGTAAAAAAATGTAATATTTTGGTAAATTGTTTTTCAACTAATATGCATATATGTTCTTTAGATATAATTAATACTTTCTTGTATCAATATTGTATTGTTTATGACTGACAAAAAAAAAATATATATATATATATATATTTTTAATATTTTTAAAATGTAAATAAAATCATTTAAACAACTATCAAAGCTATGTTTCTATTTTGCACAATGAATAGATTCTTATTACAAGCAATAGCAGTACATTTCAATGCGGTAGTTTTGAACGCAATACGACTGATGTCCATACTTGTCAGTCCTGGTGACAGGACCTCCTAGTTTCAGAGTCCTTTTTTCCATAATGTTTGTTATTAGAATGGTGGCGTCAAAGTTTCCATTTCCCGGCGTCGTCTTCAAACGTACCATAATCTGTGTTAATTGGTGACTTTTTCCAGATTTATCTTTTGCGCCATAAGCAGCTCGAACTTCCTTGAGCCACAGTTTTTGACACTGGGGATATGGCCTAATGAGATCATTAATTCTGTCCACTGCAAATTGGGCAGCCTGTTGAACTGCCGTGCCATGGGTGAAAACCACGGTTAGTTCGTTGCAGAGGCAGTAATGTCGCGGTATTTGCGCACTTCGACAATCTCTGTGCTCAGGAATGGGTAAGAACAGGCTGATTCCACGACTATTTTCCAAACATCGCGTTCGATTACTTACACTAGCATCGGTTAGTTGTTCAAGGTTTATTACATCTTTAAGGGTTTCATGCAGGTCATATGTTGTAATCAGACTTCTAGAGTTTTGGTCAAAATTGGACATGGCCAGAGGGAATCTTTTTTTCAACCATTCGGGATAAATGGCGATTAAAAGCGGCTGTGACATCTCTCTTTGTCCTTCGGCAGTTTGTGGAAACTTATCAAACCTCAAGCCATGATCACCCATAAATAGAATCAGAGTGTGCTCCATTACTCCCTTTTCGTGCAGATTCCTCAATATATTCAGGTAATCTTTATCCACCAGCTTGGCAAAATGAAAGTAGTCGTGAACGCCGTGCATGTTCCAGAAAAATGAGAATATTGACATGCGCTGCATATGAGGAATTAAGTTCAAGATAAATTGATAATACACATCACAATAGAGGCGATGCCCAGTGCATTTAAGGTCCAATCTTGTGCGATACAAGGAATGCGATTCAATCTCGTGCATCAGGGGACGCATGTAAAAGTCTGTGGGCTGCTTCTTAAAGCCCCTCTTTCGGTAGATAAATAAACCGAATATATCCGTATCTTCGCCATAGATGGTGGTGTATCCCGCCTCATTAAAGTCATCCCACAAAAAGTGACAGTTGTCAAAGTTGGTTCTACCTTTGTAACAAGACTGCTCCATCTCATCGTTAGATAGACCACTTAGCAGTGGCATAAGATTGGGATAGGTATTTACTCCGATTCTATTATAGCCCCAGAATTCTGTGTGGGGCAAATGTTCTATAAAATCGGCCACCTGATGAAAATGTCGCAGGTAGTGCATGTGAGAAATGGAATCAATGCCCAGGATCATCACGGAAAGACGGTCCTTGGAGTGATACGGTTCTGAAGCATTCGAAGGCGGTGGCAGAAAATAAAGGACATCATGAAAAATAATCCTGGCAAAGTCCACCCAGCACCAGATGCGAATATTTTGCTGGCCAGCTCCCACATCAAGGTACCTTGATCCTTCGCTTAGCTTAAAAAACCTCCAGGACCTGTACTTGTTATTTGAGTCATCAACCCTGACAAATTCCCGATAAATACAGCAGACTTGTCTCCAGCGCCACACACGACAACACGAAAGTAGGCCAGACTTTGATATGTTTCTGACCAAGTAATTCCTACCTTCAATGGTTTCGGCGACCATCAACTGAACCATTTTACAAACAATTGGATCAAAAGGTTTCATGAAGGACAGAGCAAAATCCGAAAGTGGTTTCATCGAACTTATTCGACATCCACTGGTGTTGACAAAGAATTCATTGTCTTCAGTGATTGAACTCCTTGGACCGTTGCGTATACTTTTGGTTTGTTTCCGATCAATACCATAAATAAATATTAGACAGCAGAGCATTGCTAATAGAAAGATATTGACTCGACTTCCAATTCGTTTCCTTCTCATTAGATTTTTTTTCACAGACTTACTTAATATTTTTGTCAAACATATATGTCGCCTACTTTATTTCTAATATTTTATTTATTTGTTCACAATCTCGCTTAGTATAAAATTCTTGCTTAGGAAAACCCCAATATTTTTCAAAAATTAATTCAATTTGTCACGTGTGCAAGCAAAGTCATAAGCAAACAAAAAACTTTCGCCTTCTGTTTAGAGCAAATTTTTTGAAAAATTAACACTAATTATGGAGGACGAAGAAAAAAAATGAATGTAGTCAGTGACATCTATTTGTTAGCTGTTAATTGGCTGCCAAATTTGACGGTATATAAAAATGCGCACATGACTTAATTTAATTTTAAAATCCCGTGCGAGATCTTGCCACTGCTAAACATCAAGACTAATGAATCCCAAAGAATTTATTTTATCTCTAGCGGCTTAATTAAGAGTTGCGATTCGTAAAGAATGCAGTCATTCCTAAATTGAAGTTCTACTGATTTGCCCAATATATACATAAAATTGTAAGCTTACAAGTTTGCGATTTGTGCACTATTATTTCGTTAATCAAAATGCCATTTGCCTAATTAAAACTTCCTCAATTGGATTTTTGTTGAAAATGTATGTTAACAAGTCTGTGTGAGCACAAGCATTCAGTTTAAAAGTTGGAAAGATGATCAATACAAAGTAGTGGTATTAATAAATGGGGGATTTCACTAACACTTTAAATAATGATTAATATCTTCTTGAAACTACTTCCCGCTCATTTTTGCTTGTACCATACACCTTGACAATCGCCATTCGACTTAAGCTTATCAGTGTTTGTTTGGTGAAGCTAGCGAGGAAAGCACGATGAAGTCGGTTATTCCCCCATTAAGTTTTCTCTGAGTATAATTTACAATCATAGAAATGATAACGAACATAAAGGGGAAACGACACTTTAAAAGTATAGAAGTGGAAAGTACAAATTTAAAACATAAAACAATCATTCCACCATTAATATAATTAAATGTATTATTTTTTATTAAATATATTTGTATAAATGGGCCTTATATGCTGAATGATAATAAATACAAAACTAATGACAATAATAAATGCCGGATTTTGTTCGCACTTTAATTACTGGCAGTATCTTAGGAAAAACTACTTGAAAACTGCAACATATTTATGGTGATTTTTAGACCAGTAAACTAAAAAAGACACATGTTTATATCAATTTGAGTAGATAAAATTATACAAATTACTCGTAATAAAATGTGTTTTATAACTTAAAAATAACTAATTTAAGTTCTTGTTACCTAAAGATAGAATCCCTTTAAATATTCCCCAGTAATTTTAATTAACTTTTTGTCTCTTGGGTGTAAAGGGATTTCTTCCCATTTAACAGATGAACTATATAGATATATTTTTATCTTTCTGTGACTATACAACCGAATGGCATCCAAGACAAAATCCTTCGTGACCAAACTGCACCACTGCACATTTAGGATAGTTAAGAGCGGACAGTCCTCAAGAAGCGCTAGTAAATCCTGATTGGTAATTTTTTGCATAGTGAGGTGAAGGATTTCCAGATTCTTCAGCCTTGACAGACATCTCAAGGGAACAGTTTCACACTCCACGCCAAGTTCCCGGAGCGCAGAAATTTCACAGACATGGTTTAGCTGCTCAGATCTTAAATCGTGTCCCGCCAGAATGAGAGTTTCTAGCGGAGTACCAGTTCTTTGGATAAGTCCCTCGATGAAACTAGGCTTTGGGCAGTCCCGTTTCCACATCTCCAAATGTTTCAATCTGGGCAGCTGGCAGATGACATCGGATGGTTCATTTGACGTCCGAAAGACCAGTCTTTCCAGACTGCGACAGTTTTTCACAATATTTCCAAAGTGGTCCGAGGTATAGTATGTTATGAGCGTGCCCAGTTTCTTCATTTTCAGGAAGCACAGTGCCAAGCATTCGTCATCGAATGCAGGACAATTCGAAATATCCAGGTATTCGAGATCCTCCAGAACATGCAGCCAGCTCCCATTGTGCGTCCACCCCAGCGTTAGTTTCTTAAGCTGCGGTAGTTCCATTAGGCTAAGAGCGAACTCTTTACATTGTATCGGATCTCTAAAATATAGACGGGCGTGCAGAGATGTAAGACTTTTCAATTGTTTTAGATCGTGCCCTCTGGGGCGTCGAAAGTTCATTTTGAGATGCCGCAAATTGGGACAGTAGGTTCGCAACAGCCACAAATGCTCTCCCCCATCGGACTGAGAATCCAGCGATGACTCATAGCTGATAACATTTTCATTGATGAGTTCCAGCAAGTGGTGTAGTTCGTCTTTATCTAGCGTATTTGTGACGCTTTCATTAACGTGTCTATACGTATACCGTAAAGATTCGCAATGTGTTTTTATATAACGATTTGAGGCAGCAAGTCTTAGTTGGTCACTCAAACAAAGATAAGACAATATAGTATTCCAGCAATAGGTGTTCAGGGAGAATATAGTTGTTGGTGTTTTAGGGAGAGAAGATCCGGTAGAGGTCCCATCTTGTTCTGCTTTTTCACGCCGCTTTGCACTTGAAACATTTTCAGAAGCTTCTGCTTCGGGTTTTCTCTTTGTTCTTGCTAAAGCTTTTTCACCATTACATTCGTTAGCCTCCTCGATTTTTGCGCTCATTTTTTGCTCGATTCGTACGCCTTGAGAACCGCGAGCCGACTAAACTTATCAGTCTTTGTTGGTTAAAACTTGCGAAGAAAGCACGATTATGTCGGTGATTCCCCGAGCAATAATAATGATAGAGAACCAAAAAAATGAACTAAACTTTAAGATATCCAGCAATTTAAAGCAAAATGTTATGATATGAAAAAATATATTCTACTGATACTTTGTAAAAATTTAAAATAAATTTATATAAGTTGCAAAAGTATTATATATATATATATATATATAGCAATGTATATTTTGACTTATAATTTACTATTTATTGTTAAAATTAAATTTATATAAAATCTCACTAAAGCAATCTACTAAATTAATTAGCTGACAGCTACTTGAAGACAGTATATACTGTTAATTCTAAAGGCTTCAATTATGTATATGTTTATTAGATAATTGTCGTTATTAGCACAACAGTTTTTGTATTTCAGTTGCATTTCGGTATAACAAATCCACGCTTATATAACAACAGACCTTCGCAAATGCTAATAAAATTGATGAAAAGAAAACAAAATGAAACAAATTATTTGCTGCCAACAGCCGAGTCGAATTCAATGTTCGACTTCCCCATGCCACCTGCTGGGATCGGAGATCGCTAAAGCCGTCGATCTTTTAATCAGGAAGAGGGCTCGAAAACAATAACACCGCGGGGTGGCGGGGTTGGCCAGCACAATGGGATATATTTCACGTTTGTTTGCAGTAATTTCATTACGCTAAATATTGCAAAATAAAAACACAAAATATCGGTTTCGGATCATAAATCAAATGATAAGCAAAATAGCAAAACCAAAACAATGTAAAAACGGGGGGATAGAATTAAATAAAAATGCAAAATCGAGAGGAAGCTAACAAATCAATGGATTGGCGAAGGCGAGGGAAGAGAAGAGAAGAGAAGGGAAACCATTTGATCGTGCGTTGACATTTGACTCGGATAGCTTCTGACCACGCCCCTCGCCACTGAAACAAGCGGTACGTGACCAGTATCGTCAGACATCGTGGAATCTATAGCTTCGTTTTCCACTGCCCCTTCTCTAACAATGTATACTGGGAAAAAATATTAATTGAATATTTCGATTTCAATTTCAAGAATCTCATTTTAGAAAAGTGTCTTTCAATCAAAAAACAAATTTGTTGAACCAATATTGAGCTTTGTTCTAACAATTTTTTAACTGTTTATTACATTAAAGAGTATCCACATTACTTTGCTAGAGCCATTTCTGACTGTGTATTTTGATGTTTACTATTTTTATGAATAATAAATTGTCTGAGGCGGACTCTAATCGGTCATTTTGAAGCCACGAGATCTTGGCCCGTCTGCCGATTCCATTGCAAGGCGTCTAGTGGATGACGTCAATTCTGACCAGGTAGTATTAACTCACATATGATGGGTTTATTTGCCTTAAATATTGTAAATGCGATACAAGCACTAAAGCCATTTTGCAGTGATTGCATTGAACGTTGAAGTGTTAATCAGAGACCGAAATAACAATTATTTCAGATTTAAAAAATAAAAATCTTGTGTAACTATAATCTGAGATTTGTCAAAATTAACATAACAATAACGATTATCTCAGATTTGGTTAAACAAAAATATTTTAAAATAAGTATTAATTTAGAGTTTTATAAAAAAAAAAGCTTAAATTGTTTCCCTACCTGGTTTTATTTAATAAAAATACATATATGGTGCTTAGAGCTTTAAATCTGATTAAAATTTAGAACTATTGTTCATTTATTGACTATCTCAACTATCTAAATTCCATCTTTTGTATTAGTTTTCACATTCCCCGACTGAAACAAGTCTACCAATCGCTTCACGATCCATGTCTATGCAAATAAACCTAATTGAATTGAATAACCATACAATTTGATATGAAGTGGTAGGTTGTTGGTTGGTACTCACCATAACAATGCACTGAGCCGAGATCCAGAGATCCGAGACTAATCAGTAGCAACAGCAGGGCTCCTCCGTATTTTGCTCCGGGCAAATAAGCCAAATAAGCCAACCGGAGCTTGTGTTTTTTTGGACTGGGACATGGGTTTCGATTTTTGCTTGCTGCCCTCTGACGGGGCGCACTTCGAACACTCATATTGATTGCAAACACTTTTTATTTTGTATATATATTAGACGTTTGTTCGCTATTGTGGTGCACGAAAATCGGTCGTTTGTATTGTTAAATTAATTAAGCAAACTAACACTCTTGGGATGTGGATTGACTTTGACAGCATGGGCTTAATTTTGCATTATTTTGAGTTTCATCACAGTGGTTTGGTTGTACATTTGGTTCACACTTTAATTTTTGCTCAGCTGAGATC